AGTTTTTCCTTTCCTAAGATTAGATGCACTACAGTCGATACTTTATCACATATATAAATATATTCAAACATATGACAAGGTGTAATATTTTTATGGAAGTATTATATAGTGAATTTAGTTTATAATAATTGTCTATTAATTTCTTTTAATTCAATAAAGAATAAAGACAATTCCCAAATTGTTATATGTATTGCATATCCTGCAAACACTTAATAATAATTGGATATAAAAACAAAATTTTCAAAGTTCAGTATTAATATTTTATACAACAGAATGATGAAGAACAATTTAAAGAAAGATTCTTCACACCACATATTTTTAAAAACTATCTCTATAGCCAAATGAAAGATTCTTTATATAAAACTAAAATAAATTTAAAAACTGATAGTTTATTAATTTATACAACAAGCATTAACAGCGGGCAAATCATAATCTACAATTAATATGAGGCCAATATAAGACCATGAAGAAGGTTAAAAAAGTTTTATTAGATTTCTTAGAATTACAATTTCATGGAATTACACTATCATTAGGAAATTCTTCAATATTCAATATGTAAAATGAAATGTTTTCATGAAATTGTTCATTATTCATTAGTTAAACATTTACTGACATCATATACTTATATATATATATATATTTATATATATCATATTCTCTTCTGCATTATCATCATCAAGATATACCAGTCTCCTACTAGCAATACATTATTACATACTAACATTATTCCATCACTACTTATACTCTATCTGAGAAACATTAAAAAAAATTCATATAAGACTAATTTTGTGAAAAAATAAAGGTATCACATAGACACTCATTTCTTTCTTTATATAGCAAGTTAAAGGGACTACATGACAGAAAATATCAACTTTTATTTCTAATTTTCACTTCATGTAGCATTGTAGTCACATAAAAATGGTTATGCCACCCATACATATGATCTTGAATCCACGGTAATGTTAACAAAGAGGTCTTAATCTTCCAGCGTTACATTGCGGAAGAGGTAGCTCATGCTCTCATTGTTGTGGATTCTGCGAATGGACTCTGCCAGGAGTATGCTGATGTCTACGGTCTTGATCTTATGGCACTGCATCTTCTGGATTTCATGAGGAACTGTGTTTGTGACAACAACCTGTCACCAAACATGGGCAATCGATGTTGAAGATTTATCCACAAGTGAACAGGGATTTGGAGGAAATAGGAAAATATAATATTAGCAATTTATCATGAAAGATGACTTGTGTGAAAATATTAGCATGTGAAATATATGTAAATCATATCAGGATTTTTTTTTACACCAAAGCACTAGCTATTCTGAAGTTAGCACTCACAAGCATCATCATTTTCAAGTATGTTATAGACAGGACAGGACATGGAAGATTGGCCAAGTGGTGGTCCAAAAAATAAGAGGATACAAAGACTTGGAAAGGGAAAACAGTTATACAAAGGGATGTAAGAAGAGACACTATGACCATTGTAACAAACCTCATCTATAGGCGAATCATCTATAAGACGTGGAGCATCTGAGGACAAAAGACCATGTGTTGCCATGACATATATTTTGTATGCACCACGGTCTTTAAGCACTTCTGCAGCAGCCACAAATGAAGCAACATCATCTATCATGTCATCCTGAAAAATTTATGCAATCATTATTCTGAGAATACAAATAATTATTTTTAAAAATTATCTTTCAGTTCCAAGAGACACCAAAAGGGGTAATATACCTATAACCACACAGAAAGAGAATAAAGATTTTTGATTAGACTATATATCAAATATGTATATATAACTAATTTATCACTAGCTGGCGAGTGGCAGGGTGTTGTGGAACGAAAAACAGATGGCATTGTATCATGACCATTCCCGCGCCATTGGCTTGTTGAATGGAGTTTGTTTTTCTCCGATAGTAGCATCTTCATTTATATGGTAAAGATTTTAGGCACTAGCACCTATAATGAAGGTAAACCTTCAAAATGTTGCTCGCAAACTACTGAATGAGCAAGGTGCAAACGGGAAACTGCCAATGCGCACCAACAATTCTGTTCTTATGTCCACTTCCCAAACATTTTTACTTATTTTTGATAGAGTGGTTAATACCACTCTATATCCAAGAAGCAACTAAGCATTGCTGAAAAAAAGAAGAAGAAGAAGAGGAAGAAAAAAGCTAAGCAAAGCAAACAAGCAAGCCAGCAGCATTGAAAGTACATTGAAGACTTTCATGGTTCATAATCTAGGATTTTCATGTAGAAATATAAATCTTACTCACCACCATAATAGCAATACGACCTCCTACATCTCCAACAACATTAATTGGAGGTTTTTCTTTTGCTGCAAGAGCAGGAACACCAACACCCACATCCATTATTCGTGAATGCTCAACTAAAGGAGGGGAATTTCGACCATCTGCTTGTTCATCTTCATTGGTTTTCTGTTCTCCATGAATTACTGCAATGCCTGGAAAGCCCCAAATGTCATCCATTAGAGGAAAAGATCT